AAAATCGCATAACAGCCGAGCATACACCCAGCAGCGCTGCTGATGCCTGAACGGAATGTGGAATGAAGTGGGCGGGCATCGGGAGGCCACTATGGCACGGGGCAAGCACTATGGGCAGTCTATCTGAAGTGTACCTGGCGTATAAGACGACCCCCCACTTGGCATATTTTTCAGGGCCAAAAAATCGTCTTATACGTCGGCAAATACGGTACTTTTATTTTTGTGGGCAAGGGAATGAGACGAAGAGGGAACTGGAGCAGATGGCTATTTTTCTTAGGTCCTTGGTGGCCTTTGACCCCTGTGGCTTCTGAGTGATCTGTGTCTGGCTGAGATTATTATGGGAAGTGGTGATCCTTCTGTGCAGCTTACTGTAAGGAGGTCATCATTCAGTCACACTCCTTAGGTCTTTAACATAGAGTATAGGGTCTCTTCCTGGGGGCTCTCATAGAGAAGGTGGCTAGGAGGTGCTGTCAGTGAGGGTGAGGTTGAGTTGGAGAGGGTAAGGGAGGCATAGAGGATGCCGTCAACCTGTGTGAGAACAGAGAGAAGGGGGTTAGAAGTGGAGGGGGAGCTGACCTCATCTTACATCAGCGATCTCATACCTGAGTGCCCTGCTGATACCACAGTCCCTCTATTCTTTCCACCCCTACTTCCCCAAGCTTCTCTCTAATTCTTTCAGGCTCTAGTCTGAGCTACTTACTTTTGGGTCCGGCTTGGCGTCTCTTTGTAGTCCTAGAAAAAAAAAAGTGCCAGGATCAGAGGCATGGCAGCCAAGGTAGAGAAATGGGCAGAGGGCTCAGTAGTGAGGTCATCTGCTAGGTCAGGACCAGGGTCATGTGGGAGGGATGGGTGAGGCATGGGAAAGAGGAAAACGCTGAGGGGCACGTGTGTGGGGAGAGAGTGAGTAAGGAAGAAGGAAGGTCCAAGGTGGAGTGTGATGGTGGTAGAACTGACCTTTATGCCCAGTGTTCTCGTGCTTCTCCTCAGTGTTATGGAAGGATCCCCTGCATGGGAAGGAAAGGGTGGGAATTGTGTTAGAGGCTAGGCAGAAAGGAGTCAAAACCTGCATCAGGCTGGTTCTCTTCGGGGCTCTGCGACCTGCTTGGACCTACTCAGAAGATGTAGGCATTGGTGTGAGGCTCTCAGAAGGAGGCTGCCCGGAAGAGCTTTGAGAGGCAGTGTGTGGTGTAGCCCAGGAGAGGCCCCTGAGTGCCACCTGAAGGAGGGCTGTTCTAGGGAACCGCTGTTGTAGGAAGGGGCACAGGAGGAGAAACCAGAGGGGTGAATTCCTGTCCTCACTGCCTCGGTTAAAACTGGAGAAGGAAAACCAGCGACGCTCATCTCACAGCCTCTGGGTGGGTGCTCAGGCCTCGGTCCCCAGGAGGAGACACCATCCTGGGATGCGTGAGTAAGGCAGCTGGCAAAAGTCAGGGAGGGAGAGAAAGGTGGGAGGGGGTTTAGGGAAGGGAAAGTGTAGACATGGGAAGAAGGATGGAGAAAAGGAAACTGGTGGGAGGGTGAGGAGGACCAGTGCTCAGGGCAGGAAGGAGATCCCAGCAGGGAAGAGAGGAGGCCAGGCTGGGAGCTGACGGGGGAAGGTGCTCTGAGAAAAGGCAGACGGTAGAGATGATGGAGGCAGATGATTCTGTGGCCACTATGGGTGCATCACCAGGGGAAAGGCAGATTGGACAATGAGCAAGAAAGAAGAAAAAATGGGGAACAGGAAGATGTGGGAAGGATGATGTTCAAGGTGGAAAGAAAACAGGATGAACAGAAGGAAAAGCTGAGAAATGGCCATGAAAGGAGGAGAAGGGGGTTACCAAAGAAAGAAATGGGAGACATTCTGGGAAAGGATTACAGAAACTGCTGGAACCCCTAGGTCCACTGTTCTTGATTTTTTAAAAAATATATTTTATTGATTTTTTACAGAGAGGAAGGAAGAGGGATAGAGAGTTAGAAACATCGATGAGAGAGAAACATTGATCAGCTGCCTCCTGCACATTTCCCACTGGGGATGTGCCCACAGCCCAGGTACATGCCCCCGACCGGAATCGAACCTGGGACCTTTCAATCCGCAGGCCGACGCTCTATCCACTGAGCCAAACCGGTTTTGGCGACTGTCCTTGATTTTTTAAAAAAAAATTTTTTGGCTTGTTTGCTTTTTAGGAGCCGGAGTCTCAGGAAATGTAGAGCCTACCTGTTGGGGACATATGAGGATGTGGATGTTAATGTGAAAGCGGAGGATGAGAGTAGCTGTGACAGACTCCCTCACACTTCTCATAAGGACACTTCCTGTTTCCCAAACCAGCACCCCCATTGGAGGGCAAGCACTCACCTGTCTGGGGCTCTTGCTTTCTTTCCACCTTGAACATCATCCTTCCCACGTTTAGTCTGCAGACCTGTAGAGGAGCCAACAGCATGTCAGTGTGCCGTCCACGAACAGCATCTCCTGCCTTTCTGCTTCATCCTACTCTGAGACCATCCTAGGATAAACCAGGGCAGCAAAGCAGCTCTGCTGAAACCCCTGTGGAAGGGCCTAGGACTCAGAGTGGCACCAGCTGGCATCCTGAGGCTGCCCACACCTCTCCTGCTTTTGTTCTCAACACCAATCTGAACCTCAGGGCTGGAATCTGTGTTCACACTGCAGCCTGTTCCTCTCTTCCACCGAGGACTCTGTTGTTCCTCCCCACCTCCCTGCACTCTCCCCCTCCACCTCCTTCTCAAGTCTCTCTACAGCATTTCCCAAGCATTTGGCCCCGGTTCACACACATCCTCTCCACCGCTGCCCACCTTCCTGTGAGGGCTCATCATCCACAGGGACAATCCTCTCAGCAACTGGACTCACCCATCCCCCAACTCCAGTGACCTCCACTCCACTCTGCCATACCCTGGACATTATTTTTTTTAATCACTGGGAATGAAAACTCTGAAATATTAAATGCTAGTATTATTATTATTTTTTTAAATGCTAGTATTATTTTTATGCTGTAGCTCTTTTTCCTCCCAGCTCTCTTTTGTCATCATCCCCTCCCCGTATACCTGTGCTTTGACTTCCCTAATAATCCACTTTCTTTCAGGTTATCCAGGCTGACTCAGAGTCCTCCACTCTCCATTTGTGCCCTTTCACCAGCTTCTTAACCTCCTGAGTTCCCCTGTCCTGCCACACTGAGCTGACAAATCGCCAACCCTTCATGTGTCTATTGCACGGAATGCTGCTTGCTTACCCAATATCCATTCACCTCCTCTTACTCAGTTACACAAAATTGATTTTATTTGGAGTGGCAGTGTGCTCCCCAATGGATAGATGTGGGACATATTATATTCTGGCCAATAAGTTATAAGGGAAAATATGGGTAGGACTTCCAAGAAGACTTCGGGACTATATCACATTTTTTCTTCATCTCTGACCCTTATCCTTACTGTCAGGAGAACAGATAACTGGGGCATAGTCTTTTGTAGTTTCCGTCTTTCTTCTGTTTCCCATTTAGATTCAGAAGTAATGGCTGGAATCTTTGCAGCCACCTTGGACCATGAGGCAGCCCTCAGGGTAGAATCCTGTATCCAGGACAGTTAGCAGAAAGGTAGGAACCTGAGTGCCTAAGGACTGATTTCCTGTGCTGTCTGCTTCCAGTTCCATTCATTCATTCATTCATTCATTCATTTAATATGTTTTTATTTATTTCATAGAGAGAGGGACAGGGAGAGATAGAAACATCAGTGATGAGAGAGAATCATTGATTGGCTGCCTTCTGCACGCACCCCACTGGGGACCGAGCCCACAATCTGGGCATGTGCCCTGACTGGGCATGTGCCCATGACCTCCTGGCTCATAGGTCAAAGCTCAACCACTGAGCCACGCCAGCTGGGATTTTTTATATGAGAGAGAAAAAAATCTCTCGTATCTAAACCACGGCTACTTGTGGTCTCTGGAGCTAGCAGGTGAACACAACTCCTAACCAATGAGTCTTAAAGGTTTCTAAGTTGCATAGCTGAATACTGGTGGGGAAAAACACAAGCATGTGCAATGATGCTTTCACTATGGCTTCATACCTAATCAAATCCTTAAACACTAGCTTCCATTTCCTCAGTGACTATATTATATTTTCTCTTCATCTCTGACCTTCATCCTCACTCTCAGGAGTAGCCACTGTGGTATTTTCCTTGCTGAATGAAAAAAAATCCCTATTTTTATGCAGTTGAAATACAAAAGTATTTTTGTTTATTACTTTTTGACTTTGTATCATACTTAGGGAGGTCATCTCCACTCCATGCTTCCAGCACTATGTATTGAATTACTCAGTTTTCCCCATTGATTACCTTTTAATTTACTAAATTCTTGCATATATTTGAGTCTGTTTTAATCCTGCCTATATTTTGAGTTTTTCATTTTCTTCCATTACTTTATCTTTTATCTGTTTGTTTATTATGTGCTAGTATTGCAGCTACTCTAAATGCATTATGCTTAATTGTCATGACAATCCTGGGGTAATTACTAATATTATCCCCATTTTACTGATGAGTAAGTTGAAGTACAGAGTAATTGTACCACTGTGACAGAGTTGACCCAGCCAGGATTGATTGCAGACAGTCAGATTTTATGCTCTTTAGCTTTGTGCTTTAATATCTAAGAGGGCAGCTTGGCCAGCGTGGGTCAGTGGTCGACTTATGAATCAGGAGGCCATGGTTCAATTCCTAGTAAGGGTTGTGAGCTCCATCCCCAGCGTGGGGTGTGCAGGAGGCAGCCAATCAATGATTCTTTCATCATTGATGCTTCTCTCTCACTCTCCATTCCTCTCTGAAATAAATAAAAATATAATAGAATAACTAAGAGGGGAAATCTTGTTGCAAATTTTTAAAACGTAATTTAAAATCAATTTTGGATGCTGTTGGGGCATAAATAATTAATGCCTCTAACCCTGCCCTCTCTTTGAGCTATAAATGCTAACATCCAAATTTCTGATGGACATCTCTACTCATCTGCCCATACAGGTATCTCAAATATAACATATCCCAAATTAGAGGAATCATTTTTCTCCCCCAAATCAGGCTTTTGACTTGCTATGGTCCCTAATTCACTTGGTGGTTTCATTACAGCCTCACTCACCCAAGTTGCAAACATAGGACTTCTTCCTGCTCCGTTGCTGCTACATCAATCTAATCATCAAGTCTTACTGGCTCCCTCTTAACCTTTTCCAGAATCTGACTCTCTCCACAGACCTATGTATCTGCAAGGTGAAGTGTGTAGTTGGCTCTTGGCTGCTTCATGTTGCTTCTGGAATCTTGGATGTGATTTATGAGGTCTTCTTTTCCATAGCACTGAGCTTTACACTTAAATATGGTTAAAATGGAAAATTTTAGTGTGTGTCTTTTGCCACAATAAATTTTTTGGTGCCTCCTCCATAGCACTGAGCTACTTTCAGTTCCCAGAATGGTTTCCTGTGCTTGGAAGAACAGTGATCTCTATACCACCCTCACTGCTTCCCTGGCTAATTCTTTTTTATTCTTTGAGACATTTTGCAGATGTTGCTTCTGGAAAGTTCTCCCTGGTTCCTCTCCTTCCTCCCAATCTACCGTAGTTCTTTCCAAGTGAGGCAATTAGCCCTTGAAGTACCTCCTGCTCTCTCTGAGTTCCTTGAAAGCAAGGAACTGCATGGCTGAATCCTGGTGGGGAAAAACACAAGCATGTGCAATGATGCGATGTGCATGGGTAGGGTCCCTAGGTCTGGCGGGCGATCAGGGCTGATCAGGGCCTTCCGGCTACCAGCCAGGGCCTTCCTTCATTCTGCGCCACACCCTGATGATCAGTGCACAACATAGTGAGTGATAGAACTCCCAAGGGGACACTTTGCATATTAGCCTTTTATATATATACTAGAGGCTCAGTGCACAAAAATTTGTGCACTCGGGGGGAAGGGGGGGGTCCCTCGGCCCGGCCTGTGCCCTCTCGCAGTCTGAGACCCCTTGGGAGATAACGACCTGCTGGCTTAGGCCTGCTCCCGGGTGGCAGAGGGCAGGCCCAATCCCTAGGTGCAGCCCCTGGTCAGGCTCAGAGCAGGGGCGATGGGGAGTTGGGGCGCCGCCCCCTGTCATGCACAGAGCAGGGCCCATCAGGGGGTTGGGGCGCTGCCCCCTGTCACGCACAGAGCAGGGCCCATCGGGGGGTTGGGGAGCTCCCCCGTCACACACAGAGCAGGGTCAATCAGGGGGTTGGGAAGCTCTGCCCTGTCACTTACAGAGTAGGGCCGATAGGGGAGTTGGGGCACCGCCCCCTGTCACACACAGAGCAGGGCGGATCAGGGGGTTGGGGCACTGCTCTCTATCACCCACAGAGCAGGGCCAATCAGGGCATTGGGGCACCGCCATTGTCATACTCAGGACAGGGCCAATGGGGAGTTATGGCTCTACCCCATCACACACAGAGCAGGGCCCGTGGGGGT